ACACGGTGGTTTTGGTTTTGGGTCAGGGTTTCACTATACAGCCCAAGCTGGCCTTGAGCTAGAGATCTTCCTAGCTCAATCTCCTGAGGATGGGGATCACAAGCCTGTGTCACTGCACCTGACTCATCTATATTTTTATAATGAACATTTTTTACATGAGGACATGAGGGTAGAGCCTGGAAAATGAGATTAGGAGGGAGAAACACACAAAAAAAGTGTGCTCGACTCCCTCCACCGCTACCAACTCTCCAACACAAAAGCCTGCAACTGAAGAAGGCCCTCACCCGAATCCAATCCTGGTGGGCTCTGCTCTGGACTTTCAAGCTCCATAACTACAGAAAATAAAGTCCCGTTTTCAAGTCACCCAATCCTGCTTTGTTTGTTCGTTCATTTGTTTTCTGGAGATAGGGTCTCACTTTGTAGCCCTGGCTGGCCTGGAACTTACTATGTAGACAGGCTGGCTTTGAACTCACTGAGCTCTACCTGCCTCTGCCTCGAGTGCTGGGATCAAAGGCATTTATTACCATCCCTTTACTCTTCAATCCCTTCCTTCTGCAATTAACCATGACCACTCAAGGTCCTAAGGAGACAACAGGAAGTTGATAAGCGTGTAGGAAATATAGGCAATAAACAAGTAAATATAGCCAGGCATAGTGGTGCATACCTGTAGTTTCAGCACATGGGAGGTAGAGGCAAGGGGATCAGGAGTTCAAGACCAAGTCTTGGCTACATAGCAAATTTGAGGCAAACCTGGGATATATGAAATATACCAAAAAAAAAATCTAAACAAGAAATACATACAGTCCTCCTGTATACACAACTCTGGATTCAACTAATCAAAGGAAAAAAAAATTTAATTCTTGTCTATGGGGCTGGAAAAATGGCTCAGGAGTTGAGAGCACTAGCTAAACTCGCAGACAACCCAAGTTTCCAGCACTCACGTGGTGGCTCACAACTGTCCATAACTCTGGTTCTAGAGATCCAATGCCTTCTGGCCTCTGCTGGGCATCATACATGCATGCATACAGGCAAAAAAAAACCACATAAACAAAAAATCGTCTGGGCTGTTTAAGATAGCTTAGCAGGTGAAGATACTTGCTGCCAAACCTGAAGGACAACCTGAGCTTGATTCCCAGGCTCCTAGTGGTAGAAGGAAAGATTAGACTCTTGCAACTTGTCTTCTGAGCTCCATATATAAATTGTGGGGACATGTACACTCCTCCCCACAAAATAAATGTAATAAATTTATTTTATTTGTCTTAAGTCAGATGTAGTACCACATGCCTATAACCCTAGCTAGCTATGAGGTTGAGGCAAGAGAACCATGAGTTTAGGACAAGCCTACAGTACAGAGCAAGACCTTATGTCTTAGTTTGTTTCTCAATTGCTGTGACAAAACACTCTGACCACTACCAACTTGGGGAAGAAAGGGTTTATTTGTCTTACATCTCCCAGGTCATAGTTCATCAGGGAGCCCAAGGTAGGAACTCAGGGCAGGAACCTGGAGGCAGGAGCTGGAGCACAGGCCATGGAAGAACGCTGCTTACTGGCTTGCTTCCCTGGCCCCTGCTCAGCCTTCTTTCTTATGCAGCACAGGCCAAACTTCCCAGGGGTGGCACCACCCACAGTGGGCTGGGCCCTCCCACATCACTCAACAATCAAGAAGATGCCCCATGGACATGGCCACAGGCCAGTCCAATGAAGGCAATTCCCCAATTGAGGCCCTCTCAACCCAGGTGAGTCAAGTTGACACTAAAGCTGTCCAGTACACCTTGTCTATATATTTTTTTAAAAAATCATCTGTAATGAATTTCCTTTTTAAAAAACTGATGTGTATGCAAAAGGCCACAAATGGCCAAAATGCAAAAAATAAGTCTGCAGAATGTGAATCCTTGGACAGGAGTCCTGTATTGAGGTCCACCCAACCAGGGCTCAGGGACCATTGCGAAAAAGGGGGCAGAAAGATTCTAAGAGCCAGGGAGGAGGTACATGACCATACAGGCACCTGGGACCTTCTCATACAAAGCTATTGCAATGGTGTCAGCATGCACAAGACCCATGCAAACTTAGGCAGATAAAAACCAAGCACAGAACTGTGGAAATGAACAGCAAGCCCCAATTTTAGTTGAAAAATTATTGGCAGCTGATTACTACTCGATGAGGAAGAGCTGATCTTCTTGAAGGGAGGGACTAGATAAGCTGACTAAACCCCAGTGGACGAACCTGCACCGAGGGACATCTGAGGACACTAACTTTATATAACAACCCTTAACACAAATGACAGAATGTATGAGCTCCAGTGGGGGGCAGCTACAAGAGGGTGCCAAAGGGGAAGAGGGAAGGAGGTATAAAGATGATTTTCTGTATGAAATACATAAAAATTTTAAATTTAAAAAAAACTGATGTGCATGGGTGTGTGAATGCAGGCACACAAATGCCACAGCATGCATGTAGAGGTCAGGGGTACTTCAGAAGTGTGGAAAGTGCTTTTCCTACTGAGTCATCTTCCCAGCCCTGTATTAAACATTTTATATAGACTTTTGTTCTTTGTCATTATTTCCTAAACAGTACAATATAATTACTTCTGGGAGTTGGGGTGGTGGCTCAGTTGTTAAAGGGCTTGGCACAAATAATGAAGACCTCAATTTCGATCTCCAACACCCATGCAAAAAGCTGGGCACAGCAGCATGTGTCTATAATCTTGGCACTGGGGAGGCAGAGACAGGCTCATCGGCCAGGCAGCCTAACTGAACTGGTAAGATCCAGGTTCAGAAAGAGACCCTGTCTCAAAAACCCCTGATTGAAGAAGTCAGCCTCTGGCCTCCACATGCACAAGCACCCACGTATACGGAGCATATAACCACATGAATGCATACATACACCACAGATATATGTTCACACACAAAATAACTCCTTATATACATTTACATGTACTGGGTACTGCAGTCATATAAAGCTGATTTTAAAAACACACAGAAGTGCACACATTATACACAAACTCTATGCCACTTTGTACAAGGAACTTAACCATTTGCTTAAGGACTTTGTTATATAGAAAGGTCCTCTGAAACCAGTGCTCCTTGGATACCAAGGATGACTATGTATTGCTTAATATAAGATGGTGCTAAGTAATATAAAGAAGTACAAAGCTAGCCAGGAGAGCTCTAACAACCATAAGCCATAAATATCTGCAAGAATATGCCCCAGGTGGAGGAAAAAGCAAGCACAGAGAGTAAAGTGTGTCTGAATAGTGGCACAAATCTGTGACAACACAAGAGTGTAGGTGGCAGATCTGTCATAGGAAGACAAAATATAATATAAATCAAGACACAACAAAATGTGAAGTTTGTGGAGCTGGAGAAATGGTTCCATGTTTAAGAGCACTGGCTGCTCTTGCTCAGTTCCTAGCACCCACATGGTACCTAATGACCATCTGTAACTCCAGTTCCAAGGGAATCCGATGCCCTCTTCTGACCTCCATGGGTACTACACAACAGGGCTGCACTTATACACATGTAGGCAATACATTCATACACATAAAATAATAAACTTTTTTTGAAAGTGAAGTTTGCACAAAATGCAGATCCAAGAAATAATGAACATTGTGAAGATGCTAAGGTCTTATACACTTCAAGAGGAATATTTAGATATTAAAAAAGGACTTAAGAAAACTGAAGGAGGTTGGGTCAGCAGTTAAAAGTGTATACTATTGCAGAAACACAGATAACTTAAAATGTTTTTCTTAAAAAAGAAAAAAATTGGAGGCTTTTAAAATCTTTTTGTTTCATCCCTATGAAAGCTGCTTTCTTCTGCTCCTTTACCCGTTGGCCACATTACCAGTCATTCTTTTAACACAGTCCCAGAAAGAGAAGGCTAGCCCTGACCTCTACCACCTACTGGCAACAGTAGTTGAGAAATGTAATGAGAAGACAAAGGATGAATGTCTGAGGGGCAGTCAAGTAGGAGGAATGCTGGGGCTAAGGCCATAAGCTTAGCACTCACTCCTGTGCCTTGGAAGGCTGGATCTGGCTTTGCTTCTCAGTCTTTTCCCTCACCTAGAGTATGCTGACAGTAGCACCTAGCTTACAGACTCCTAGTTATCAAAGGCATTGGCAGAATCTGGCATAAAACAATTACCATCATCATTGGTATGCTCAATCTCATTTGAGATTACACCAATTCCAATTTTTCTTCCTGTATTCTTTCTGTATTGCCTCTATTCCTTTTATACCCAAACCAAGTTGGGAATTCAAGCCTGACCCAAGTATAAGAAGATTATGTTTATTTCGATCTGACTTTGTTAAGATCTTTAGGTAACTACATAAAACAAGAACCTATTTTACAAGCCCTTTATTTTCAATCAAGGTATCTTGCTCAGACTTTATCATCTAATGAAGGGGAACAAGACATTCTAAATTAGACCCAAGACATCCGCCAAGCATACAGATTCTCTCATCTCTTTAAAATAACTCAGAAAAATCAGCCAGATGTAGTAGGACACCTTTATCTGGGCACTTTGGAGGCAGAGGCAGGAGGAATGGGAATTCAAGGACTGTCTCACAACAAAAACAGCTTAAAAGTAAGCAAAAAGTCTCAACTGCAAAGATAAAAAGAACTACATGGGGCTAGAGAGATGGCTCAGCAGTAAAGAATACTGACTGTTCTTGTAGAAGACTCAGGTTTGAATCCCAGCACCCACATGGCAGCTAACAACAGTCCATAATTCCAGTTCCAGAGGATCCGATGGCCTCTTCTATACTCTGTAGGGATTGCACGACATGGGTGCACTTACCTACATGCAGGCAATACACACATACACATAAAATAAAAATAATAAAATATTTTTTTAAAAAAAGAACTACATATAGCATAACTTTAAAGTCCAAACATAAAACTCAGAGGCTTGGGCTAAATCAGTGCAGTACTCTCCTCTAGTAAAAGGAAAGACACCTCTGTTATGAAGACAGGGAAAATGCAAAGCATCCACAGAACAGTTTCCCATGCTTGTCTGGCAGCACATACACAAAAACTAGAATGATACAGAGAAGATTAGCATGGCCCCTGTGCAAGAATAACACAAAAATTCATGAAGTGTTTTGTATTTTTCTTCCTAGGACACCCTCATCATTATCACTTTATTATTAATTTTTGGTCCTTGCCTCCTCCACCGCATTACAGGTTTGTATCCCAATGCACTGAAACTATTCAATTACAGATGTCTTGCAAATGTCCTGCCTACCAGAATTTTATCACAGCCATCTGGATCAACACCAGGAGCCTACTCCATAAAAGTCCTCCTCCAGGATGGACATTTCCCAGAGCCCTTCCTCAACCCAGCAGGAAGCACCCAGAGAAGTTGATGCCCCAATCCTTGACAGCAGACAGCAGTCAGTGTAGACAACTAAGAGGGAGGACTGAGAGAGAGTGAGATGGGCTATAGAAAGAGGGAAAGTGAGAGCATGTCCCCTAAGATGGCAACTTATTCCTCAGGAACATTGCAGTTGAGAGTAGTGGGAAGAGTCCACTCAAAAGTAAGTACCCATCCATGTTTGTTGCTGCTTTTTTCACAATAGCTTAGAGATGGAAGCAACCTAGGTATCCCTCAATTGATGAGTGGATAATGAAAATGTGGTTCATATATACGATGGAGTTTTACTCAGCAGTAAAGAAAGATGAAATCATGAAATCT